TCAAAGGATAGATCATATCCAGCACATGGAAAGGCAAATGCATCTTATCCTCCAGCAGGCTGGACGCTCATCCTCTCAAAATCTAAATACTGTGGCTGGCACCAGCTGTAGCCCCTAGTGAGCATTACATGGGGCAGTTAACACTCCCTCTAAATCACTGCACTCCTGGAGCACAAGCAACAGAAGCTTTCCCCCCACCCCCATCCCAATTTCTAAAACCAGCAGCTATCAGCTTTGCTAGGTTGGGCTCTCTCTACAGACAGATGGGGGTGTTTATTAGGGAGAGGGATGGTGAATTGATTATGCAATAACACGTTAGTGTAAACAAATGCACAATGACAAATTTGGGATTTCTTTTCTACTCCCAACAAGTAAGTGTTAGGACACACAACACTGGCTTCTATTAGCACTTAATGTTTTTTTCTTTGATGCTGTTTTTTAACTTGCTTGGAGCAAAAATTTCTTACAGCACAATTTGTTGCCAAGAATTAATATAGTAATCAGTAATGAAAAGAAGTAAAAGAATTTCCTCCTCAAAATAAAAGGAGGATGAATTTGCAGGTTATTAATTACTTCTTTTGTTTGACCACCTCAGGAAATCACTCAAAATGTAACTTTTATGTAAAGCATAAACCACAATCTGTCTAGACTTGCCAATGCATCACACAGTTGTAAAATGAGCCTGCGTATGCAGACAGTCAATTAAAAAATATAACTGCATTAAGTGTATTGCAACTATGATAGAAGTACAGTGTGCCCTAGGTTTCTGAATTGTTTTTAAAACCTAGAACTTTTGGTCTAGACGCACTAGCCACCTTCTTAATGCTCTGTGCTGCTGTGCATCAACTGTGTAGCTGCCCTCCCTCTTTTGTTTGGAAATACAATTGTTGGTAGTGGATTTTTTTTAACCTCTCCTATCTGTTCCTTTGTGGAGTCTCCCCTCTTCATAGGGAAGGTAGAGTAGAAATTAAATCACACCTACAAAATGAAGGCTTTGTTAAAGAGAGAAGTATTGCAATTTGCCCAAAGATGGTTAAGATTCTAAGTCAGCCTTATCACCATATTTAAATGTGGTGATCTTTCATATGCGTATTACATAACAAGAGGTCTAGCTTTATCACCAGCATGCCTCAAACCTTTACTTTACTCAAACTGAAAACCCTCCAGCAGAATGCAGATCAGAAGGACTAAAGGATCTGATGGATAATTAAACCAGAGGGTGAAGATGATTATCAAAAGGCAGCACATTATACAATTACATCCTTTTAGATGAGCTGCATCATCATCACAAATGAAAATTAAAGTATTCTCAGAAAGTAAATACAGACCTTGCTGGGTCTCTGCTATTAAAAGACAAGCAAAACCTTGACTAAAATAAAGCTGGATCTGATAAAGTTAACTCCTGAATGCTTACCTTGACTTAAATTTTCCAAATACCACAAGCAACATACAAGTTTCTCATGTAAGTTTTCTAAAAATTATGATGGCTTTCACTGAACAATGACTTTTTGAGCTACCTACAGCATATTTAGAAATCACATCTGAGATCAGAACAGATCTTACAGTACAGTTTTGCTCTTTTATTAATGGGTCCAAAGGCTAGCTGCATACTTGGCTACCTAATTTTTTGAGATGGGGGCACCATTGTCTATTAAAAACCCTTCAGTTATCAAGCATCTTCAGAGGGTTTATATGCAGGACTGGTTTCTGTGCCTAGTATTTCTTCTGTCTTCTAGCATGAGAGATTAACACACTTGAAATATCAACGTATTTAATATCAAAATTCATGCCTAGATTATTAACACTGAATGTATCCCTTTTTATCTATGTGACCATTACTAATAGGTCATTCAACAAGTGATCTAATGACTAACTGTGGGAGAATAAAAAGGATCAACACAAAGATAAAAGCCTAAAAATATCAAATGTTGTATGCGTCCCTCATATTCTATGTCACTTCCTTGCTTCCCTACACTGTAATTTTCAGGTTTGTGACTGTATCAGATTAGCAAATCAAATCCTTCATCTCTGAAGGTCTGGTGAGCAGCAGTTGCAAATATAATCAATGAGGAGAGTCTTTGGGTGATGTTTATTGATGAAACACAATTTTGATATAAAATATGAACACCCAATGCAGAATGCAACACTCTGTGGCTGAAATTCTGCAGTCAGAGCAGTTCTCTGGTCCCAATTAAGTGTCTACCTCCCTATTTGTAGTATATAGAGACATGGGAGACAGAACTTGAAATTATTACAGCTGAAGTCCTGCCTGCACTGTGATTTCAAGCTTGTTAGAGAGTTTCCAGTTGTGCATTACCATAACTCCTACTCGTGCAATGAGCAGCACTTAACACAAGATCAGTGTCAGTAGCAGGTTTTGATTCCTTACCTGAACTAACAAATATTCAAGACTGTAAGGCTGGGGGTTTTTAATACAATAAAAATACATTTTCCCAGTTGGCACAAGCAAAACCAAATATTACTCTTTAATTTTGTAGTAAGAATAAATAACACATTTAATTTGTTGAGTATTCAGCCTAATATCCTGCCAGCTGCCTCTTTGTCTTTTACAGAAAACTCTTCAACTCATCATGTGTTGTCTGAACTACAGAGCCCTAAGAGAACTACATACTTCCAGGTAAAAAATCCTAGCCAAGACACTACAGGTGAAACTTAACACCTAATGTCCTACCTGGGACTTCAAAAGCAGTACAAGCCAGCAGAGGTCTAGCAGTATCAGTTGCAAGAAGATAATCTTTAACAAACGTGCTTCATGCTCTGAACCAGCTTCACATTTGTAGTGTGTAACATTGAAACACGGTGTACTCAGTAGCTTGATTACGGGTGAGAAAGGTCTGGATGTCAGCTGCAAGATCTAGGAAAGCAGTGAAAGCAAGGTCCTAATTCTCTAGATGCACAAAGACACTGCTGGTTGTAGCCATTTTCAGTTTTTCAAGCTGTTTTCAGCAGCAAGTAACCTCACTGGCTGTATCTATTGTTTTGACACCATCCAATTACTAGGGTAGTTACAGCCAAATTTTCTGACCCCCTGTGCTGTCAGGGCCTTAAAGCCCACTGCCAAGGAGCAGCAAGGGTGGGCTGCTCCACCAGGGAAGGCAAACCAGCCCCTGAGCGGCAATGCAGGCAGGGCAGTGGCCTCACTGGCGAGGGTGCAAACTCACAATACCTGAACAAGAGCAGAGCAGGCATGATGATGGTAACCAGGTTTGCACAAGAGCTCTGTCACCACCGGACAGGTCTGTGGTGATGAGGGATGTCCCAGCTCAAACCAGGAAGTCAAATCCACAGGCAAGGGCAGAACCAGCAAGGTGCCAGGCTGGACACAGGCATACCTGCAAAGTAGGTTAGGCAAGGACTAAGGGCAAGGACATGGGCTTAAATTCAGCTCTTGAGCCAAGGGGCAGAGCCGTCCAACGAGTCCTTTCACAGCTCTCTCACACAGGTCTTTCTTACACACCAGATGGATCTAAGGTAGTAGGCAGCCAAACCCCTGGGGTCCAGGAGAGCCTGGTAGAGCATCCAGGGTGCCGCCAGCCATGCAGCCATCAGGCATCTGCACCTGGGACACTGCGAAACACTGGAGCTTGTGTACTCACCATCACTGAGCCCTGTTCTCAGCAACCTCAGCAAGTCTGAATGACCTACAGTCAGGAGCAACCTTACTAGGTCATCAACGTGTATCTAAGAGGACAGACTTACAAAACGTCATGGCATCCCTACACTCTCAAGCATGATATGCCTGTGTGGCATAAACAAGCCAAGGCTTCTGCTTATTTACTGGACTGGCCATGCTTCTATATCGCCAAAAGATATTCTTGCAGAAGGAGGCTCTGCATCACAGAAGAATCTCCCATCAACCTTCCGAGGGAAGGAGCTTATACACACCTCCCTCCCAGCTTAGCTGACAAGAGGGAGTCAATGTTTAAACACGAACACGTAAACTTTTATCTCCTTCCCCAACATTTAATTAAAGACCACCTTTGTAAAATAGTACCATGTGTTTGATTATCCTTGTAACAGCTCAGACAGCATGGCACAAAAAGATTTGTAGAGCTCTAGTACTGCTGTTCCCCTTTGCCTCAGTGCAGTGCTTGCTAAGGTAGCAAAGCAATTAAATCTGTAGTTTCCCATTTTAGAAAACAGGCATAATCTATATGTTTTGATACTTACAGTGCCACAGCATCATAAGATTAATTCAGTGTTTCAGTGTTTTCTGCAGTCCAGATTCAGATTCCCAGTGTGATGGTGTCACAAATGAGCAAAATAATGTAGAATGAAGGATACATAGTAAATAAACAGAGGAAAGTTGACAAATATCTTCCTGTTGGTCACTCTTTCTCTCACAATGACCATGTCACAATTTCTGTTGACTCACAGTTGACTAAGTTATTGATGTTAATAAACATTCTCTGAATCCCCCTCCAGAAGGGGAATAAAGCTAATAAATAAATGTACAATTTCAGTGAACATTTGATGAAAAGCAGTTATCCTGTGCACAGGCTAGAGGAGACAGTAAGCAATATAACTAAACAAGAAATAAGAATGCTTTTCTTCACAAACATAGGTTTCTTCATTTCAAATCCACGTGTCTGTTTCTCCTCTGTCCTGTACCCATTCAAAGTAACTCCATAGTCCACATATTAAAGAAACCATTTTAGACTACAATCCTTAAGGTCATGTTCTTGTATATCATTTCCTTCTACAGTCCATAAGCTTTATGGTACTCTGACCAACTTAAAGTTCAGTGAGACAGGGAAGTAGCACCTCTGTTTCAACTTCATGCTTCTGCTTTCACTCTATGATTCCTGGTGGGAAAAAAAATCTTTCAGCTTGGAAATAATAATAAGCAGCTTCTGTTTATGGTCTAGCATTAGGAGGAAAAAAAACCTCACAGAGAAGCTAACAATTCTTCAGTAGTCAGGGTAATTATTACCAACAATTCATAACATACCACAACTAGCACAGCAAAACTCCCACTCTAACTGTATTTAACTTTGTTTATTGAGGCCAACAGAAATCTTTTCTCATATCAAAGCCTGAAGGGGGAATTACCAACAAATTCTGGCAAAGAGTTACATTCTTTTCAAATACACTATTATACATCATGAGATTCCTGAAACTAGAGAACTTTCCATAAAACTCAGACCACATTATTCTAAAAGGTTTTTTGGGAATAAAAAAAAAAAAAAAAAAAAAAGTAAGAAGTGGTAGTACAATTATAATCAGTGAAAAATCAATAGAAAAAGAAAGCAGGAATGCTCCTATCATGACAGGATCCCTGGAAAGCAAATGTGTTGTGTAAAAATTGTGTCTGTTCAAACTTTTAACAGAACTAGAAATCCTGTATTGCTGCCAATTTATTTGTTTAGCTGGACTGTTGATATATGCAGAGTATGAATGAATATATTTATTGGGTTACAAACAGAAAAATACATGCAAGGAAATTATAATATTGTTATGTAAGTCTGACAATATTATTCACTTTGACATAACATATATACTAAATAGGAACTAAGTTCCACTGACAATTGACTCAAAGGAGTTAACTGCACAAGGCCTAAGAAACAATACTAACTGAACAATAATGGCTAAAACCAGCAGAGTTTTAATCGGTAATCATTGTACCATAAAGATAGGTGCAAGTTGTACAATAGCTATAGTACTTCTGAAAATAGATTTCAAAACTAGAGCTAAATTTTCTCTTTGGAATATAAAAATAATGCTTTTTCCTCATGTTAAACACTTCTAAATAAATTTAATTTCAAGTGTGCTTATGTACTATTCTAAAAATACACATATCTCCAAAGTAGCAATAAAGTCTGTGTGATGAAAAACAGACAAGTGAAAATTAACACAGGAGATACCAAATTGCCCTACCTGTACTCTGCCCATTTACATGGATCTATTGGGACTACCTTATCGGTATGAATTGAATTCATGGTGCCACTAATATCTGCAAAAGATGCATCAATGATGTCAACAGGGCAAAAATTTTACCCTGTGTGCTTCAAACAACTGCCGTTTAGGAAAAAAAAAAAAAAAAAAAAAAAGAAGAATGCATTCAAAATGTCTGTTAGTTTCCCCTTGACTTAGAATTTCCTCCAAAATTATACTGGCCAAAAGCTCACACTGACACTTTCACTTTAAGGCTAAAGACAGATGTAAGGTCTGGCATAAATCTTAAACATTTCATAAATGACTCACTACATACAGAAGAGAATTCTATGTATTCCAGAAGAGGACCATGCATTTGATTCAGCTTTGAAAGGCCCCAAAACAGTAAGACATTAAAGTTGTAGTAGTTTTGTACACATACACTAATTTTATAACTTTCTGGAATGTTTTAGATACCCTTTTCTCATTCCTTAAGACTGAGGAACTATGAAAGTGAGCTGCATGACACCAAAGTAACATTTTTAAACTGTGATATGATTGTAAACACTTTAGAAGTACCCTTTTTTTTCCAAGACTGGGCACTTTCAGCCTCATATAGGATAAAGGTTTAACAGAAAAGACATAATAGTTTTCACAACAGAATCAGATGTATTCATTAATTTTTTGTAGCCTTCTTCAACACCTAGGACTGTCCTCTACTCTTTACACAAAATTTTTTAATGATCATTTTTTATAACTGTGTCAACAAGGTTTTTGTAAAGTGCTCCAAACAATATTATCTGGAACCTAAGATATATAATTATTGTTTCACAACATTCCATAATTTACTTCACTAAGCTACAGGCTAGAAAAAAAATGTATACAAAATAAAATGGTACTGAAAATGAGGCATGATATATTTCTGATTAGAGACTTCCCACCACCATTTTTTAAATACTGATGAAGTTTTTATGATCTTCAGCATACAGCATTTCATAAAAATATATCTTGTTCTCTCATCCATTCTCATCTACTTCCAGTAATGAGTAGGGTCACCTGGGTGATCTAAAAGACAAACAGTTGTGAGGAGCCAAATAAGACATATGAACATCAACACTGAAGCAATTTTAGAAGCTATGGCCTATTTCAGGGTAGGATTTTGTGATCTATGTTATGGATGTGATTAAACTACTATAATATGCATTCTGGGTTTAGTGATCTGTGCATTAATTAACCAGACCAGCATTTATGTTTTGAACCTTAAATTCTGCATGTCTCAATGCAAGCATTAAGTTTTATAGTGCCTGCTACTTTCTGTTAGTATGGGTCATGAGACAATTTTCAGATATAAATTTAATTTTCAAATGCTTATAAAAGCAAATAATCTTGGCAGTAATACAATAAAAAGCCTAATATCGGTAAAATCTAGAATGATGATTATGAGAACTATACTAACAAGATATTAATCAATATTATTCAAAAGAAAAAAGAAAAATAATTCAAAAGAGTGGATTTTCCAACATGATAAACATTAAGGGCACAGTTCTCTGTATAAATACAAAGTTTTGTCCATGTGCAACACCACTGACTTCACTGTTCGAACAGTCATCATCCTCAATAACTAAACATGCTCTTACAAAAATCTGCAAACTCTAGTGGATTTCAAAACTAGCTTTTAACAATTTGCCTCTATCTTTGCCCATTCTCTTTTTCTGCTGCTCAGTCTTTTTCGAGAGCAGGAACAGGACATCAGGCCTTCATTTTTCTTTCATTATATACCTCCCGTATGAGAAGGAGAGAGGCTATTATATAACTTCATATACTGAAAATGCTGAATTACAAAACTAAATATACTGTGATTCCAAAGCACATAAATAGACAAAACCCTATCAGTCCCACAAACATCCACTTGAGCCAACTCCATTCAAGGACTGTTAGAAACCTAAGAAAAGCATGAAATTGTTGAAGATTACACAGATGGAGGCAATTTTCAATTAGGTTTAGATGCAGATCAGTAGAGAGATAATCACAGTTCTAAGTGTGTCATCCACTTTCTATGGGACATAAGCGTTGTTGACACAAATGCTGTTGTACAATTTTTACACTTCATGATTTAAAATGGGATTTCTACATAACTGCCTGATTTTTTTTTGCCTGAAGACAGTAATTAAGTAAAGTATCTCTGATTATTTTTAACTGAATGGGTGTGCAAATGGAAGACATAAGAAAGTTACTTTAATATCTGAAACAATTTCTTAAAAAACAGAATTAATGACTTGGAAAGGGGATTTTGTGGTACCAGTTTACCAACATACGATCCTGTGGTGCTGTTAAAAATTGCAAGTGCTCCGTTATTTTACATTTCTTTAGTATTATTCATATTAACTCTATTTAAAATGAATTAATTTTACAATTAAATACATACATCACTGAAATGGAATCATAAAGTGAAATATATAAATTTTTAAGAAATAATTCTGAAGATACGTGTTTAAATTAGAATTCTGGACAGGAAAATATACTTAGTTCTCATAAGTATCATTTATTACAGAAGTAAAGCATGACAGATTCTTTTTCTCCTCAGCAGTGATGTGGTTCACTCCACACAGTCAATGGAGATAGAGAAAAAAAGTTGCTTAAGTAGGAGTGCCAAAAGTAACAGCAAATTTTGGCTGTTGTAAGAAAGTGGTGCATTTTACAGGGCGGTAATTTTGTTTCACTGACAGATGATGTTTGCATCAGTGATGACATGTTTCAATCTTTTCAACAGGTTTCAGTAACAATGGTATAACCCTTAACATAAAGATACAATCCACAATTCAGCATGGATATGCCACATCATACATAGTGAGCAAATTATTGTAATACATACAACTATAACAAAAATACGCAAAACTTACAGTTTAAGTCTTAAAACTTATAGTCAGGAATATCTAGTGATGTTGTAAAAACACTTCAGACTTTCCAGTGTTAAACAGACAAAAGAATGCAGCTATACTGGGATGCTCCTGTGCTTCAGCTGGTACCCTCACCCTAAGTTTTAGTGATTCCAGTCTTATAGCAAGCTTAGACCTAACATGACAAGTGATTAACCAGCTAAATAGCCTCAGCTTTGAGTGATTTCCTCTGCAGTCACATGGTTCAGTTACTCTGTGAAGTTCATACAAAGAGGTTCTCATAGATAAAAATTATCTCAATGATAACTATCCCATGATCTCAGTTTGCTACCTGTAGACATGTATTCTTTACTGACGAGGAAAGTGGAATCTTCTCCTCTGATCTGGGTGTCCCAATCCATATTGTCTACCTGGAAGGAGTAGGAAATGAATGAAATATTTTTAATTAACATTAAAACAGGAAAACAAGAGCTCATTCAGGTAGTCTGCAAGAAGAATTGCATTTATATATATTTTGAAAAAAGAACACGTCCCTCTCCAGTGGGTGTATAATTATGGCTAGTATTTTGAGGTCTTGGATGATAAAGTCTATGGTGGCACTGCCCTTCTTAAAGCACTTGGGCTATTTTAACTTTTAAATCTAGTCCAAATAATGGGTTGGGATAGTGAATCATACAGGTCATACACTGTGGCTGGTATATCTGACTGTGTGAATTCAGGAAAGGAAAATACACTGTTTAGAACCAGACATAAGCTGTATTAACAAACATTTTCAAACTGGTTTAAGTGTGCCTGTGTACGATACTGCTTTAGTTATAGATTCCTATAAGCAAAGTAGTACTCAAACTGTAAATGAAATCTTTTTCAGCACCAAAGTTCTACTAAGTCCCACCTACATCACAGTTCTATGAAAATCTTATTAATCAGAAACATGACTGAATACAGAGTATGCGATACGAGTGTGGAAGCCTTGATTAAATACCTAGCAAATAAAAATTTGCTACAAACTCAGATCCTTCAGTATAGTTGTATTATGTTCAGCTACAAAGTTTACAGTGTGCCAAAACTGAAGTGAATGTGCCCTTCTGATGCAATTACATTCCATGAAGAAATGGGACTCTGGATAACTCCCTTTTGTCTTGGACAAAAGAGTTTCTCTTCAGTGAGACAAACCTCCAACAATTCTATTTTTTCTGTATCTTTCCTGGATACTCAAGTTTCCTTTCCCCTGAAAAACTGCTTCAATTTTCCATAAAAGCTTTTCCCCAAGACCTTGCTTTTAAAGGAAAAAAAATCACTTTTTCAAAAGTGGTAATATTTAAGTTGAATTCTTTAAAAAACAAAAGCTGCCCATTTCCCTTCTTCTTTTTTTTTTTTTTTTTTTTTTTTTTCCCCAATAGAGAGATGGAAGAAAAACAAGTCAAAGATGGATGGATACAAAGAAAGAAAAACTATTTTTTTGGAGAGAACATAGTTTTCTTAGGCAGAATATAGTTGACCCCTGAATCCAACAACTTCTAAATGCAAGTATGAAACTGTCAAAATGCTTCACTGTTTCCCCATCTTACTGTTTTTGATTCTGGTGGTAGATGACTGGTAGCTGAAATTATCATCCATCACTTCTAGGTCTCTGACAGCTCTTACTCATGTCCTCATCCCTTCTATGGGTCCATCACACAGAGAATTCTGATATTTATCTTATCACTGTGAGAAATTCTATATCCCTGCCAACACCTTTCACTATTTCTAATGTATTAGAGTATCCTTGATTTCAACCATTCATGTAGCTGTTACAACCAGTCCCACAGACACTCTCTCCCCTATCTCCTTTACTTATCTTCAGCTCACTTTTCAGACAGGTTTTCAAATACTAGTATGAGAATCATTGTCCAAATCACTGAAATTTAAAAATACAGCTATAAAGGTATATAAAAGATAACACATAGATAAGGTTAGACTTACTGTTTTATTTTTTTCTATCTTTTATATGTTGATTTAGATCTAGGTGGTAATTTGTACGCTGACAAACAATCTCAGTGTTTATCAGTTGTACTGCTGGAGAGAGTGACAAAGACACATGATACTCAAGTGATTTTCATAGTTCTAGTGCCCAGTTTATTTTTATCTATTTGTAGAATGATGTAACAATGTGATTCAAAACAACATATTAGTGTTCTTAACTGCTAATAATGCAGTTTTGTCTACCAATAGACTATATGGCATGTGGTGTTTCAGCCACAAACTCAGAATCTGCAAAGTCATGCTTTATTACAGACATCTATGCTATGTCAGGCAAGATTTTAACTCAGAGCACACAGACTACAAAGCGTGGCAATGCAAAGTTTTGTATCTCAGTGTCAAAGCCTAACCCTAGATTTAAATTAGATACCTATGATCTGTCTAACAAGCATCAGAGTGCTAAATGGGAAGTCTAAGCTAACAAACAAGAAACACTAAGGGAAAATCTGCCTCCCTGTGATGCTTAGATGTCCTGCTCTGATTTACATGGATGTACCCTCCATTTGTGACACAGCCAAGAAATTTATGAAGAGAACTTTAAATAAATTAAAAAAAATCAAAATAACACAAAAAAATCCCAAACCCTGCAAAACCCCCCAAATCCCACAGCTAAATTAATTTCTCTCAAAATACAGCTAGAGGATCAGATGTTAATTACAACAGATCAGTGGTTAGTATTCACCATAAAATGAGGGATGTCTAAGCTCAATTCTTGTTCTGTCTGAGGGGATTCAAACCATCATCTCAGAGAAATACCAGTGCTTCTTAGGTTTATGCTTTCTGGGTGGAGGCACTCTTTACTCCACTGTTGAAGTTGAGACACTGTCATGGAATTCTTAAACATTAACTGGTAAAAAAGAGCAAAGGCTGCCTAATCATTAGGTACACTCTTGACTGAAGATATGGGTTCCATGGCATGGCTACCATTCCATTACTTTTTAATGCATTTAATCCAATGATTTTTATATAATATGCAACAGCAGGAACCACAATAGTATACTACAGGAAGGTATATAAAGGATGGGATGGACAGGTATCAGTAATATTACTAGGAAGTTTTATCACATAAGATATCATGGAAAACAAAATCTCTACTTTTTTATCTTTTTTCCCTCTCTTTGGTGAGACACACACATATGGCAGAGACAACAGCTACATAATGAAGCAACACAAATACCTGTCTTAATATTATCAAACTTAGGAAAAAGAAACTTTGCCAAAAAGAACCATCTTGGCAGATCAGTTGAAAAGCAGCTCTAAAACATTGCAAGGCTCTTTTGTAAGGACGGATATATTTTTCCAATAAATCTATTTTATTTATAACAGGCTACTTAACTATACTTATGGGATCATGTTTTAAGAGCATCCTGAGGGTATTAAATAGGGCTGGTGTGGAAGAAACCAAGATGTTTTAATAATGCTACTGAAACACATTTATAACACCGTTCAGCATAGTTACTTTAAGAACATACTTTGTGTAATAAGTTGCAAGCCCTCTGGTGCTGGTCAGAGATGACCTTATCCCTGAACAGCAGGCTTCTTCAGATGGTCACAGTAACAATGAGCAGTTTTGGTTCTGCTCATGGTCAGCACACACATTCTATATTTTACCTTTACATTTTACATACGTGATCAAACAATCTTATCTGTGAATCAAATGATAGTATCTCACTCTCAAGCATACAACAGTGGCAGCTGAAACATACTGAAGACTTTACTGTATTTAGTTATTATCCTTCCTAATCACATCTTCAGTATTGTTTGAGAACCTTGTCTGGAAACACAGAAGAAATTTAGGCTCTGCAGACTTAATAAAACAATTGCTCTTTCTTAGACACTTCTCTTCCTTTTGCTTATTTTCTTTAATTTATGTGTATATGCTTTAACTCATAATAATGGGGAAGTAAAAATGAATTATGTAATGTCAACAGTTTTATCCACAGTGATGCTTCACTGAAATATCTGTTCTGTTCAAGAAGTGAGATTGGTAAATGTTTTAAGATTAATGCCATGATAAGATAGAACTTGCATTTGTATTACCTTAGGTAATGATCTGGAAGCTGAAACCCTGATCTAGAAAACCACTTAAGAATGTGTTTAACTTTATTCATATGCTTAAGTGTTTTGTTGAAGTATGAACTAAGATCTGCAGCTAAAGACTGCTGACAGACATTTCTGTGCAGCTGTGCCAATTTGTTTTAGAACTAATACAATTTTAAACACAGTTCAGCTGAGACCAAACAGGAGAATGCTTAACTACCACATGAAAGCTTTTTTCCCCAGAACACTGTGAATAAAAAATGACTCCAGATTATAATGCTACACTTTACCTCACCTTGTGTATAAACACAACTGTAACTGATACAAGTTTTGTTACTGACTGCTGTGGCCACTGAGTAACTGCATATAGACACAGAGCTGTTATATTGTGATAGACAATTCCAAATAAACACTCTCACACAGATTTTTTACCTTGTGGTTGAGAATTTCTCCATAGGAAGCCCCTCATCTGGTTATGATATGGAGGAACAAAAGAACTTCTGTGTGTTTGTCGGAACCTGGGATTAAATTCTCTTTGCTGTGTTCCTGAAAAACAGTATTTACTAAGCAACTCTGACTGTATATAAGATTAAAAGAAGAAAAAGAGAGACAGTATATTCTTTTTCGAGAAACAACATTTCTTAGTTTTATGCCAAAATACTTATGCATAATTACAAATTTTCCAAACTAAAGTCAGCCTAATAAGCATGGTTCTTGTCCTCATTTCCATCTATGCACATCATGATTACAAGCTGTTAACAAGTGTATTTAGAAACCAGATCAAAATTTTATGACACAGATTTGGAGACTGCAGTCATTAAAACAAAACAGAAATCTCTGTCCAAATTGGAATCACAAATCATAATTAAAATGGTTAAGTACAGCTCTCAAGCAATAGCAGATGCTAACAAGGTCTGGTATCATAAATCACCAACAGATACTCTAAGTTTTGAATGTCCAGCCCCAGTATGGTGTAGTACCACCTCAGAAATATTGCCGTCACATAACACAAAGTACTGAACAAGCAGAAAGTCATTCTGTCAGTTTTAATTTGCTCAAGGAATTTTGAAGGAGTAATTTTTATCCTCACAGACATTATAACCAATCAGGTCTTAAGCAGGTAATAAACATAATACCAGCATAAACACTGAAATTCAGTGTGAATTATTTTCAAGCCTCACAAGCCTCAACATTCAGGCTGATCTGTGAATGATGCTAAAAACCTTTTAGATGTTTTTTTCCCTGAAAGTCAGGCAAGTCAGGTGGGGAAAACAAATGCCTTTAGTAAACTGAGTCATAAAGTTGAGGAAAAAAAAAAGCACAAGGTCTTAGGCAAAAAACCCCTAATTTCTCCAGGTTGCCCAAAAGCTTTCTTGTATTTTGAACTATATCGGTCATCCAATAAGGAGTATTCTCTCTTCAGTGCCTCACTCAGACCTTCAACTATCAATGCTAAAATGGCTTCTCTGAGGGAAAGTAAGAAAATCTTATTCCTTCTATAGAAATAAGTTTAGTCACTGAGTAAATAGCAGTGATGTTTCTGTCAGTGAATATTTTTTTTTCTGCATATATCTCACTATGTAGTTAGATGGAAATATTATTTTATCCCAACTTGAGTAATCAAATTCACCTGAATTCCTAAAAGCAAGAAGTATTTTCTTAGATCTCTCCTGTGGTTTCTTGGAGAAATACCTTACAATTTACCTAGCTTGATGGGCTGCCTATGCAAATGCAGCTGCTGTTGAAGGATAGTTGAGCTCATCAATATATTTACTTTATTGATGAAATTAACAAAATGCCAACCTGTGATAAATCCATTTCCTCTTGGTCTGCTCTGTATTGTTCTTTTCTTCGCCATGCAAACCTTGCAAATTAAAGACTTCAGATTCTGGAAGGGTGTATACAAAGACTCCTGCAGACAACAGGGTTAAAAATCAATGACTGTTCTGCTTTTCTCTCTTCAGGTGTAGCACTAATCAATTATATGTACAGCAAGTAAAAGAATTTTCTTGGCCCACACTCATACATATATAAAGGTTGTAGATCTGGTCCACATTTTTTTCAGGAAACAAAGTTCAAACATTTCATATTAAAAGTGGATCGTTGGAGGGATGAGTAGGGGTGCGGAAGGAATGTTTTCCCCTTTTTCGGTTAAGTTGTTTTTTCTTCTCTGCTTACATCTGTAAATCACTTGCTTTCCTATTCTATTACCTTGCACCTGTAGATATACTTAACTAGACTTCTAATAGCAATACCTCAGGTAGAGATGGTTAAAGCCTCCAGATGATGACTGATGAACACACAGAAAAAACACCAGTGAAACTCAAAGTATCTTTAACGTATACATTAGAAACAAAACTTAACACAGTAGTAATACATCAGCCCCGATTCTTGACTGATAAAACATAGCCAAGCCTAAAGAGAAATGTGGGAATTAAATGAAAATGTTTACTTTGTGGTGTGATGAAAAGTTCTACTGTCAAAAGGACAAGTTGAGGCTATTTAAAGACACAATACTAAGAGATGTGAAATATCATTAACTTTCACTGTTTTCAGTGAGATTTGAAGTGTCTTCTTTTTTATTGATTTGTACTGGGCATGTGGGCAGTAGTACACATTGAAAATAATTATAAAAATACATATTTTAGAGCAATAGTAGAATTTGTGATTTTTGTAAAACTGAACTGATTTTTACAGGATGACAATTCTTTTGTGTAACCACCAGGGAGGAGGGTGAGCAGGAAGGAAGGGAAAGGATCACAGGAGAAGGTAAAAATCCAATAGGTGACAAGACTGCAGCAACTAGAGAGGTTTCTTAAATTAGAGGTAGAGCCTGAATCCTTGAACCCCCCTGAAGATTTTCTTAGCACATTTTTTGACTCAACAAATCTCTTTATAGAGCCCTAAGCAAAACTCACAGATCTTTCTTTTTCCACACAAACTGAGTACAGTCTGTGAAGAACACTCACCAACAGGAAAAACCTTTCATTGTATTCTTGGGAGTATAAATTCAGAATGTGTTTATGAAAGCTGGATGGAAGGCATGATCAGAAAAGGACAAAACATATCACTTATGCTGACCCCATTAGGTAATTTGGTTTTAATTTAAAAAATTGATCATGAACATACTCATTAGTGAGAAGCATAATAAAAAGGCTAATAAAGTGATAATGTCATTGCCTCACTGCTTTATGAGACTATTATATTCAATTTTCTGTACGGAAAACCAAACTAGTATGCTTACTGTTATGAAAAACAGAGAACTAGCATAATATGAACTAAGTGTATCTTTTTAAAAAAGTAAGATGGCTCTACTTTTGATTCTTATCAGACGGTTTCCATTTTTTATCTTTAACAGCTGCTAGGCTACATATTGCTGAGCTACACAAAAACCTGCCCACAAATTATCAACTGCATTCAATTTATATATTTTTTTCTTTTGGTACAAGAATCTGTGGGAAGCAAACCCTAAAATGTTCAAAATTTCTGTTATACATGTAAATATTTAACCAAGACTGTACTTCTACTGTAATTTTCATAAAGCTATTAACTGTATTTAAGTCCATCATGATCAAAACAACACTGATTCTGATATCTGAACTTCCTGAAGTAATGTAACTGTCCATATCATAGAGAAGGGACCTTAAGATTCAGGAGACAAGCACTAAACACCAAAAGGAGTAACTTTTTCCTATTACTTATCTTTTCTATAACAAAACATCCCATGTAGAATAACTTTTTTTTCTGAATATAATGCTGTTGCTATCATCAGATTAGATTTATGGTGCTCAGGGGTAGATTGTTAACAAACAAGTGCTGAAAGATCTTGGCTTTCAGTGGTACATTAAGCTCTGCCAGGAACTAAGTATCAGTTTTATTTACTAAAGCTGAACTTACGATAATAGAAAAAAACAATCACACATGCTTGTTGCCTTGCCAGTGTCCCTAGCTAAACTGGTATCTCTTGGCAATTCTCCCAAAAACAGATTCGGGCCTCAAACTGATAAGCTGGAAAGCTATTTTATTAGTCTGGGAGTTATCTCTGCCATATATGTACCATAAAATTGTACCTAAAAAAGAAAAAGATATTTAAACTACTCTAAAAATTCACAGAGCTAGACTATTTTTCCTCACAACAGAACAGTTGACAGTTTTTTTGGGTTTTTTTTTGCTTTTTTTAAAAAAAAAACCTAGAGTATCAGGCTTTTAAAAACCCTAACCTAGATATTTTAGTTGATCAAGCAAATTTCCAACTCTGTTCTAGAAATCTAAGCATCTTCCTTCATCTCCCTTCTAAGACAGGTTAAATATAACTTTAACCTGACCACATCAAGATTTTCAAATGTTAGCTAAAACATACTACCTAACACATTTAAAAATACTGCTCAGCCAATATAAATTTTGTACAGATTTAGATACATATTGCAAAAATTATACACTGACCTGAATTCTACCCCAATGGAAAAGTATTAATTTCACATAGATCTGTATAGTTTTACATTTTCACATTTATTCTTTAGACCTTCTATTGTTCTGCAAAAGTCCTACATCAAAAACAGGATGCACCACTGGCCCAATCCAAAATCTATTGAAATCAACAGACTAATTAATGGGAACCACAGGATTTGGATAGAGGCTATAGTCCTAATCATATGATTGATTCCATATGGAAAGGATTATCTTCCTCCTCCATGCTGGAAACACATACATTCCACCCACCCACACACGTTCCACTCAGTACTCCAGATCAGGATGGTATGTAATTGGACACAAAATCAGAAAAGAAAACTAATTATACAACAACTAATTATACAACTGCTACTAAATGCATGAGATTAAAATCATTTAAAACTGAAAACATTTCTCTCTGTAATCACTTTTATTTATTTTAACCTCAAGTGATATACATAACAGCAGGCAAAAACATTTCAAAGGTAAAATTTTCAAAAGCAATTAAACAATACAGGATTTTTAGTTCCACACTGAAAAGAGACACATTAATTGAAGGTCTTAAGAGCTACCTACCCAGATGAGTACAGATCTACCCAAGCATCTCTTCACATATACTGTGCTGGTGGGGCATGAGCCAGGTCTGGTCCGAGGCTTCACTAGTGATTTAACACAGCCTTGCACCCAGCCTAGCAAACCCCACCTCTGAGCCTGGACATGATGCCACCCCAACGCACCAGATATGGCCCATACCCAGCAAGACTCTGCTGATATCTCCCTGCTCTTGCCTGGGCAGATGTGTTTTAAGTCATATTGTTTTTCTAGTAACATATCATTCAAATTGTACAAAACCCCAGCTTCTGACTAAATAACTACTTAGAGGTACTTGGTGACATTCTGAAAAAATACCTAGACACACACCCTCCTCTGATTTCCAGTTCCTCTTTAAATTCACCAGACCTTCATCTCAGACTTTAGGTTCCTTAATACCCTTAAAAATATCACACTAAAACACTTTAAAAATTATACCCCAGTATACTTATTTGAAGACATTCTTACTATGCTGCCTAAAATCTTACAGGAAAAAAATCTCATCATTAATATCTTAGTACTAGAAAACCATTACAGGCATTTTCATTTTTTGAAATTGACAACCATCTTGACACTTTCTTATATTATCTTCTGAGTAATGAAAACAAAAATAAAGGTAAAATTATAGCTTCCTTCATAGTCTCAGTATTTCTATCTTAGTTTTTTTTTGGAAGAGAGGATGAGAAAGGAATAAGGAAGAGAGGAAAAATACAAAGCAAGGGGACCAGTGTAAACATGGATATTAAAATAACAAAAAAACACGGACAGGTACATTCTTCAAATATAGAACTGTCTAAGAGGATGTGATTACTCACATTGCCTTCCAAAAGCTCTTCCAAAGAGCAACCTCTGTGCGACTGCTGGTATTTTTCTTGAAAAAGTTTTCCATCAAACACTTCCCAAGGCATCAAATCATCCATTCGGAATGGAAAGCCACAGGCACTATTGGCCATGAGCAAAGTTGTAAGGCCACGAACAAAGACAGCACCAAGATGTACAGCTCTGGAGTCCACTTGCAGAAGCTGTTAACACACATGCACACACACACACAAAAAAAAAAAAAAAAAAAAAAAAAGTAGGCCTCACAAATCAGGAAATATGAGCAATCTTAACATCACTTATAACCATGCAAACAGCAAAGTAAATGACAAACAGTCCCAAAGCTGTGGCAATAATGGTCCTTTATTGCACAGTAGAACTCATCAAAGGATTCTGTATCTAGTTTTATTCAATAAAGTGAAAGAAGTGAAGTTTATTTTAACAAAGAGAGCATCTCACTCAAGTTTTTAATAGATACATTCAAAATGAAAACGGAAAGACAAAATAAATGGCTTTTCTCCATAGTATTTCTCAAGCATTAGCAGCTCCCCAGCAAGAATTCTGTTACTGGAATGCAAAACATGAACTGGGAGTATAAAATGATGTGTACAGTGATCCATTGACCTTCCACAGTTTGATCATCCAGGAAATATTACAGTACTTAGAGATCATTTGAGTTATAACATTTGACAGAACAAAGTTTATTGTGCCCAGGCTTTTATTTGAAACACTAAAATTTCCTCTGACTGTAGTCTGAAAGTCAAATTATCTCACTTCAGCATGAATGTCTCCAGAAGAAATACCGGAATGGTATGACAATATCCAGAAAATGCAAAATGAGAAACTCAACAAGACAATTAAAACTCACGGCCAAAATAAACTTGATGGGTGAATTTAGCATCCTGCTGTGGCAGAGCACAACAAACTATAAAAGCCTTGAATCCAATATGGGGAAAACTGTGATTTTAAGTATTGTGTAAGCAGTACAAAGCTCCTCAGTGGGGAATGACTCTTCCACAGCCTGTACCAAAGCAGTCTGTCAAGACCAAGACAGTGTAGTCATCAATACTGTAATCTGTGGCAGCTGTTGTACCCTTACAGTACAGCTTTCCTTACAGTATGTTATATCAGGAATGGAACAGCATCTAAAATAGCCCAGAATAGAAAGGACAAAATTGTGGCTCAAATTTGCCTTAGCCCCAGCTCCTAAAGAGCTGTGAATGGTTTGTTTGAAATGCAATGGAAAGGGTTGGACCATTATTACTAACGATATCTTACATCTTGAAAGATCCTCAGAAGACTTAAAGGTATGCACATACACCATCAGTGCCCTATTTAAAAAAATGACAAGTAATAGCAGACAACGTGAGATTTTGCAGTAATGGATCAGTACTTCTTCTTCCCTAAGGTCCACATAACAAACTCAGGAAACCTATTCTAGCTACAAAGCTTCTTCCAAAAGAGACAAACACAATAAATCATTTGGAGAATATAGCTAGAACCTGGTCAAGGACTTAGGTTTCCTGTGTTATTATGCAGTGAGCTGAAGTCTGTTGCATAATTTGACTATGTGAAACTGGCCTCTGTGATAGGGTTCCCCCTAACCCCAGACAAGGGGCAGCAGGGCTCTGTTAAACCAACTTGAAGATAAGAGGTGTAACTCCACTAGCTGTTTTCCCTACAGTGCAAAAGCAAAAGGTACTAGGCAGGGTGGTCTGGAGCCCTTTGGGAAGAACTTCTGCCTCTAGTGATTCCTGGAAAGGAATCAGGCTGGCCACCCGAGCACTGACCCAGCATGACACTCAGTACTTGAAATTCACCCAATGCAGACAACACAAGCTGATTTGAGCAGTCATTTATAAAATGAAAGGCCCAGCCTTTTCTGACTGTGACACTTCATACTTGAGCAAGGGAGACCTTCCTCTCCACTGCCTTTAGAATAAAAGTATTTTCAGTATGGGATCAAACTACTGAGTTTCAGGAAGTTATTGCCTCCAGATGGAAGCTATCATTTTGCCAGCTGAGACTAGTAACTACATGCACACTCATAACTCTCTTGCTCTGGCAAGCAAAACAGGTTTTTGCGAACCATTTAACAATGCTGAAAGATACTTGAAAGAGGAATGTGGTTTAAGTCAACCAGTATATTTGTGCAAGAGTGCACACAGCCAGTTATCATGTCACAGCGGAGAGATTCTTACACTGCACTAACCAGATTGGTTTTGATCACCTAATCAGATCTTAAGACCTGCTAAGGAAATGAGTCCACATCATTACAAGCTTTAAAATGGAATCTGCTTGGTTTGTGATCACAAAGTAAGACTTTATGAGCAAAAAGTACAAAGAGTAAGACCTGCTGGGAATCCTCAGAACTCCTTTTTTTCGTAAACTAATCCAACTAGGGAATTCTTTCAGAATTTATGCACCCTGGTCTTGTTTTCAATGAAATAATAAACTGAACTTTAAATAATTTTGATAAAATACTTTAGAGCACTTTGACAAGGGGTAAAGTTTTGCTCTTAAGCTATAAGAAAAACGGACATATCAGGCTACAATTAGCAGTAGAGACCAAGAGTGATAATGGCACACCAACCAGCTGAATCAAATTTGGCCAAATTTATATCAGTATGATTTATACCACCAATACTGTCTTTATTATAGATCAGTACAAAACCAGACTGAAATTCCATCATACAAATCAGCATCTTGTGTCACTGAAATATCAGTAAGTACTGACAACATCAAAAGATTTAATTGTTGGAAACAAACTTCCATGAATAATAATGAAAACAAGTATTTAAGCTGCTGGAAAGAAAAATAGTAAAAGCTGTAATCTTCAGCAAGCAATTTCCCATCTTCTAATTTAATGGCTGTGTATTATATGACTATTAATTCATATCTTTTTGTCATTTATTGACAAACATGCTTTTACTGTGCCTTTTAATCCCACTGGTACCAAGGATGTAAAACAGTTATATAATACTACACGTGAATGCTGGATGCCGTCTGGGCCATAAAGCTTAAAATAAAGCTTTTATATCTTTATTTTATTCTGAAAACTCTAAGCATAGACCCAACACAAATATGTGATTAACTCAACTTTCTTCAGTGACATTTTTCAGGTTAGTGCAAAACAAATGCATACATATTTGCAGAACAAGTGTATAAATGCGAATCTGAAAAATTTTGCTTTTGATGGTGATGCACAAAATAATAAAATATAGAAGAGAACGTTGAGTACTGTCTCTAGCAGGAGATCTTTTTTGCCATTGATGCTAATTGTTACTTCTGTCTAAGAGAGTATGAAGTCTAAGCCACCAATACAATCCTAGATGTGCCCTTTTCAACTGCACTTGAGACATACTGGTTAAAAAGATAAAATAATGTTGCTAGTGACAGGTTTTACAGGTAGAAGACTTCACTGTCTAGGGATATCAATCCAGAATTTTCCTAAAGCACTAAAGTATTGGGGGTAGGGGTGGTGAATCTCAGGTAAGGTTTGGTTTTTTAATGGAAATCAATATTGGCAAGACCAAGGCAAGAACCATCAACAGTGATTTCTTTAATAAAGTAAGACAGGAAACACATTCACTAAAGGGTAGTTTCTATTTTCCATGTCTGGAAATGAAAAACAAAGGAAATGAAAGCACAGTGAGTCTATAACAATGAGCCTGTGCACATGGCAAACCACAGAATTGCTTTGCCATGGGAATGCTCACAACTGCTTGGTGTCTGCAATGCAAAGACGTCATGATGAGGAGAAGTGGAAAATTCCAAAAGAAAAGAAGGCTTGCCTTCCAGGGCATTACACCCTAGAGATTACTTCTTATTGGAAATTGTGTCTGTTCTTTTTACTATTTTTATAAACTCAGGACCCCAGTGAACCATGTGCGATACACCCCTGTGATCCCGCTGCTGCTACTCCTACCACCAGCTGATGACATCTGTGTGAGAGAGCCAGGGAGTGCGTGAGAACTGCTCCTCCTGCATCAGCTGCCTCCGCCCTAACCCTGCTGCTGCTCCTACCAACAGCAGCTCCCCACCTTCTCAACTTTTTGGGAAAAAAGATTACTTTCCCTATTTGACAACATTAACTAAAGACTGAGAAGAGAACTCAAAGTTCACAGCCCTTTAGTATCATTGAAGCAGAGGTTACTGATACCGTGCTTAGAAGGCCTGAGCTGAACTGGGTAAACCTACTTGAAAAGAGCAAGAGAAGTGCTACCACACCTACATCACTAATGTATAATGTTGTTTTTTTTTTTTTTTCTAATAATTTGAGAAATGCCTTTGCTAGAAGAGCCATCATCATAGACCCATGTCATATCTTGCCTTTTTCTGCACTAAAACCACAGGGCTTTAGCCTGTGGACCACAAGTTCAGGCTGATTTCTGTGCTCATGTGCATCCTCACTGATGACCACAAAAAGAGGCTTTGCAAGAAGGAAAGCGTTTGCTCACAGGAGCAGTTTTACAAATGTAGATCCAGAGACTGTATATCCTGCTGAAGAAATTTTACTTACAGGAAGAAAAATACATGAATCTTGTATATGAAATGCAAATTTCCAGTTCAAATTACATCTAATTAAATAATAATTTAAAAATGTATGTAAAATACCTTTAAGTTTTAAGGAAATACTACTAGTCCTCTGAGTCTCCTTTGTGGATTCAGAAATGATTTTTTGATAAAGTTGTAAACTTTATCCTGTACACTTTGAAAGCTGCACAACCTAGTTTCAGGAACATACTAAAAAACCCCACAACTCCTTCACCACTTTACTCTATGGAGTTCACATTCTGTAAAAGGATGAATAGGTTCTACCGCACTAGAAATGTGAGGGCAAATATCTGAACATGCCAGATGTCAGCAGACACAAATGAAGGCCGTAACTGTACCCGCCGGCAAAACCACCTCACTATCTTCATTTCCAGAAAGGTAAAAATATGATAATAATTTTACAATTCTTTACTTGCGCTAATATACATATCATCTGTGCGCAGCATCTCAATACAGTAGATACTAAATTTCTTTTAAGAAAACTTCCTTTAGTAGGATTTTCAACAACAATCTGGGGACACATTTTTTCAATTAAAAAAATTTTTATTAACAATCGTTACTTAGATTAAAGATATTCTTATGCATTTAATTTTTTTCCTAATCTGTTGTCTTCTTCCTGTGGTTGAGCAGAATACAGAAGATATGT